ATTATTTACTTCTCGTTTAACTGTATTACATTTAATGATCAAAATAATTATTATGAATTAAAAACATTTTAGACTAGTTCAACCACTTCATTATGAGTTTAGTATAATAAGAAATAAAAATAAAAAAAATATTGCATTTATAATCGTTACGTTGCAAATCTATTTGATTTTACGTGATGTATTAAAAAAGTTTTTTATTACCCAGTGAATACTATACTTGTTATCTAAAAAATTTGAGATGTATATATAAAAAAATTAATACAAATACTTGTTCTGCTCACTCCATATTTTTTTATAATTATAAAATGCTATGGTAAACAGAGTAATTTTTATTAATTATGAGTTTTATAAACATATTATGTTGGTTAAAAATATTTAAAATATGATATTGATGCATTTTTCAAACATAAACACTTTTAAAATGTTATTTAATCTATGATGTCATAGATTTGTTTAAAATTGGGTTACAAACAATTAATTATTACCGTGTAATAATTTTATTTTATATTTTATTCGTAAAAATGAAATGTTTTATTATTTAAAGAACTGATCATGTTTACAGTTAACAAAATTCTCAACTATTCAATTGTTAATTGTCGTCTTATTTAATATTTTAATATTTTAATTCTGTCTAGCAGTATGTGTAACGGAATATTTAAAAATTATCATACCATAAGCATGTATTGTAAAGTTACCTTTACAAACTACAGAGTGCAATAAATTTGAATGTAATTGGTTTTTTTTTAATTTAAATATAAAAACGAGTTTTTATAATATGATTCTGTAAAAAAGTTTTGGCACATAAATCCAAGATTTTACTTATGTATTTTTACTAATTTTGAAAATATATTACATGTAGTTCAATAAGTATTATTTGATATTTGAATATATTATCAATAATTAATTATTTAATATCAATCAGTTTATTATCTATGACTACGTCTTATAATATGTTTTACATTAATTTACAAGATATTTTTTTTTTTTAGTAATAAAAATAAAAAATATAATAATAAATTTGCTTTGTGTAAAAATTAAAAAAAAAAAAAAAAAGTACTGGATCAGATGTATTGTACAGAACGTATAGAGGTATAATTATATTTGTTTTCATAAATAATAATTTTCATAAATAATATAAATTAAATATCAAACACTGCAATCATTAATATACATGATAAACTTCTTCATAACGTATCAAAATATTAATACATGAACAGAATAAAAATGTATTTTGCACGATGTATTTGTATCGCTGTAGTCATTATCAAAGGTTGAAAAGGATATATATAAATATATGTACTTATATGAATTTCAGTCTATCAATATTTAACTAGAAAAAATGAACGAAATGGACCGGAAAGTGATGCAATTTTTTTCATCTGAAATCGAATAATGCGAATTCCGGAGAAGCGGAAATTATTGAATGCATATAATATGTATAATGCGCATGTAACTTTTGATGTGTGTTCCTCTGGACGAAAAAAAAATAAAAAAAGTTGAAAAAATTAAAAAAAAAACAATGGTCAAACCGAACCTTCCTACCGGAAAAAAATGTAAAGTTTTGGCTCATAGAAATAATAATAATATTAAAACCGATATATCATCTCATTTTCGTTTTCGACTTCATTTTTTTCCTTCCTTTTCTTTATCTTCGGGCGTAAATTATTTACCGATAAAAATCGAATTTGAAACGGGCGAATCGTTTTCTTTTTTTCGCCCCGTACGAATAAAATATACCCATCGGAAAATCCGACGTACCGCGGGCGATTCGTTACCGACGTCCCATGGCGGTTGCGCTCGCACGGCATCCGTGTCGTCGAGCGATTCGATCCAACAACGCGTGCACGTCAGGACGTGAGCAGGTAAGTGTGATACGCAATAGCCGTTAAATCGCGCATAATATGGAACGGGCACGTGAGCGATGTTATTTTTTACGGTAAAACGGATTGGGCACAAAAAAATACAAAATCAATTTTCTTTGGGGTGACGGGGGCGTGCGATTCAACCGCTCGACGTGATATTTCAATGGTCGACTGCGGTGTCTTGTGAGTCGCAGTACGTGGGAAGTGCTATACGGTCTGCGAATTTTCGAACCGCCTCCGTGCCGATCGTCACTTGTCGCCACTAGTATCGCGTTGCCGTGCTGTGGCGCACACTTCAAGACTTCAAGGGTAGTATCAACTGCTAACCCTGATTTTTTTTCGTGGTTGGAGTGAACCCTTAGCCACAAAACATTTACATCATAATTTTGCAATTTTTCTACGTAAAACATTGACAATAAACTATAGTATAATACAGCCAATAGATTATCAGTTCACACAGAGATAACCGACAGAACACTTATTACCTATATCATTTATACATTTTGTATAAAACCATTTATAACTATATATTATTGGTTCCTTTATAAATACTTTTATATATTTTTATCTTATTTTTTTGCTACCTATTATAAACAATATACGCATACTAATTTAGCTATACTTAGTTAGTATTACTAACAACATACTAACAATTAACTAAAAGCCAAGAAAATGTACAAACGTTTTTAATTTATGGTAAGTGCAATAGAAATTCTCGTCGTCCAGCGGAAATGTATGCCGAAAAATACCTAGTTCGGTACCATCCACCACACACGCTTTTTATTAAAATACAAAAATTATTGATTAATCATGGATCATATTCTGTTAAAATTGTATGTAAGCAACCTAGAATAAAAAATAATAATAATGAAAATGTGGAACTTCAAGTTTTGATTTACATTAGTTTGAATCCACCGAGAAATCCAGTATTCCCTAAATTGGTGGACACATGGTACATATATATACATATATACAGTGGCACATCGATAACTCGTATCGGTAGGGGGCAAAAAAAAATATTTCGGTTATATTTTATTTAATAACACTAAGACTTAATTTTATAATTTATTTTATTTATATATTTACTAATAAATACAGAACGTATATAAGTATATATATTGTATTAAAATTTTAAAATACTATAAAGTAATAAATACATATACGTATAAATTATATGTAATAAAGAAAATACAATGTAATGAATAAAATTGAACTATTTTTTAAATAAATTTGACATTTTTAATGGTTATTGTTTGACCTATTTGTAAAGTTTTCAATAACATTTAGCTCGTAAAAAATCTCGTCTTCAATTTCCCGTTGTTCTTAAATGTACATACGTATCACCTGTAAACTATCTAATACCTGGGCAAAAGTAGTTTTAGGCAAAGCCATATTATATCGTTGAATTTATAACAGTATCTTTTAAGTATTAGGTAAAGATTAGATTGATAATATTAATTGGTTTTCAATTACGATTACCGTTATTTGTAATAATACACTTGGTTAATTGACTTTCGAGTTATCGAATTGTGTACGTGTTATATATTATTATATAAATTCGAGTTATAAAAACTATAATTACTTCGATTTATAGAGAAATTTGAGTCCGCGAAATTCGAATTATCGAGAACATTTATCACACATATCATATATTGTAAGGTATTCCTTCGAGTTATCAAAAATTCGGCTTATAGAGGTTCGAGTTATTAAGTTTCCACTGGTATATACATATACGCAAAAGCATAATAATGTACTGACGAACAAAACGTGGTCTTGAAACCGTCTTACGCATTGTAATATGTAAATCATGGGTTACTCTACACAGCCATCGTGGTCGGTGTAATGTAACGCTCGCAGATTCCTATGTCGATATTGCATTTTATATTTCATTACACATTTAGCTTCAAGTTTTTGCGCAACAGTTCTTCGTGTACGCGTCGATGTTATGTACGCATTTTTTTTTCTTCATAAGCAAAATGTTCACATAATTAATATAATGTCAGTACTGCATCTTACGAAATGTGCTCGTTACGACAAACGCTAATTTCGTTCGCGTATTTGTTTTCAATTAAAGTATTTGTTTGCAATTATTTTAACTGTCGCCAAGTAGTTGGTATTTTTTTGGTTTTTGGCATCATCGCCATATTCTAAATACATTTAAACTTTCAAACGGTCGATTCTACAGCATTTTTTTTTTTTTTTAAATTTCCAATATACATGATTGTAAACTTCATCACAGTCTTGAGGTCTCACTCCCGGCTATATCTCACACTTCTAAACACCTGAAATGTGTTCCACGGCCTAACGTATCTCTGATAATTGTATTTACCGTTGATTTTGATGATATTATTCGAATTCGGTAATCTGTCGTTAAAAATCGGTAGCGGCAACGTAAACGCGTCCATTAGACGTCAAAGGAATCGTTTGCGTAATTAGCTTGATAAAAAAAGAGTTCCTGAACAATGGATAACTATAGTTTATTTTTCTATTGCTTCCGTTACTACAAATCTTTGTTTATCGTGATGAAGGCAAATGTTTATGGCGACGTCTAGCTTATGCGCCCGCGCTGGGTGCTTCCAACTTTTAGGATAACGCATATTTTTATGTTATAAAGTCAACGCCAACACGTTTTGATTATCGTGTAGACCATCGATGGAGTGAGATAATGCAGATCGGTACACCATCATGGTCAGATAGTTATGTTAGTATATCAATGGAAAATCAATCGAATTCATTAGCGGCTGTTGACATTTACCACACGCACTATTATGTGTACGTTGGACACACTCATTACATCGAAATGATAATTATTACGTTGTTTTCCATCCACGACTGATAACCACGATGCGCTATTGTACACGGTATCATTATTCGATATGATGTTCATAAATGTTAATCGGAGTAGTTGTGTTATGACAACGATGCATGCGATTAGCAGTTATGTCTCTGTTTGAGAATGAAAAAATGTATCGATACAAATATAAAACACAGTATTCAATACACTCGCACCATACGCCACATATAGGCCATTCATTAATAACTATTTCCGAAATCATTGATAACATATTATTACATATATTAGTATACATGAAATCAACGTATTTTTACGGTTTTTATTTTTTTATTATTATTTTACAGTTCCACCGCAAAAACCAGTTATCTTGAGCGAGTACAACGAAGAGATAGATCACACAGGACCGTTTTACGAAGGCGACCGAGTGAAAATGACATGCATGGTATCCGGAGGTAATATCATTATTGTTATTATTATTTTTATATTCCTGACTTTCTCCTTAACTCTAAACAAAGACGAAAAGTCATTATGAATATAAATCAAAAAAATAAGAAGTATTATTTTTATTTTACACGCACCGTATAACGAAAATCGTAAACTATTTACAACTTAATAATAAAATAATTAATCTATAATCTTGTTTAGTTCAATGAATTCACATAAATATTGTATTTTCAATGACTGTTGTTTGATATAGTGTAGATGGAATTGATTGAATAAAAAGACAAAATATAAGAATCATTTCTATATAGACATTTTTTTTTAGAACTAAACATTTAAATTTAGTGCTCAAATGAGCACGCATAAATTAATTATACTTATAATTAATAAAGAACCTATAAAATATTTTTTATGAATATGGTTCATCACGGATAACTATAATTTTAATGACCGTGATGACTTGTGCGTTTTTCATGAGATTTTCATACATTGTAATAGTCTTAAAATCTCTCGCTTAAGCAAATTATTTAATAAATAAATGCTCACACATGATCGTATTATTATGTAAAATAAATACTTTTACTTTTTAGTTACCTACATATATGATGAGGTTAGTTGTAATTATAACGTATTCATTACACTAGTCACATAAACTTTATAACATGTAACTTAAAGTTGGATTAATATTAATATCTGTTAAAAGTTTTATCATTTATAATACGTGTCAGTAAAAGTGCAAAGAAGCATAAAACTCGTATACCTTATACATGTGTACAATCTTGTCAAAAACTTACAGTGTCGAGTTACTGAGTTATAAATTGCTAATCATTACATTCGTTCGGTGAACGCAAAATCGGACGACGTGTCTTTTTACACATATAATATCTCATGTTAAGTAACCGATACTGCAGTGCACTGATACACTTGTTTTATTTAACATTTTTGAGTAGCTTTGAAATATTCCATATGAAAATTTTGTCTGTTTCTACTTCATAATTAATTTTTTTTCAGAGATATTATGTAGGAGGATGATAAAAAAAAAATAAAAAAACTACTATGTGAAATGTTGATAATTTTTAAATTTTGTTAGAACTAAAAATGTTAATTGAAATTTTATGGTTATTAAAATTTATTTAGCTATTCGCCACGCTGCATGGTTGTTTAATTTTTATATTTAATTGTGTTTTTGAGAAACACGATATAAATTATTAAAATTCAGTATTTACACGCGCAATTTAATATATCCGATGAAAACTATTATTTCGTTCGATCTTAAATTCCAACATTGAACAAATTTTATTGGGGTAAATATATTTTTTTAAATTCCCGGTGAATCGACGAAGCGAGGAATAGTATTGATTTTTTTATTTTTATTATTTTAAAAACAAAATTTTCAAATGCACGAAAACGACCATAAAACGTATGGTTTTACATGGGAAATATAACACTTGTTCGATATTGACAATTTTTGGACTTTCTCAATGGCTAAACGTATAAAACCTAAAGCTATAAGAATTAACAATTCTTCTTGAACAATTTCTTTTGTAATTATATTGGAGTTGGAAGTCATAAAATTAGGATATTTATTTTTTATAATTATAACAACTACATCGTTATATATCACAAAACCATATTTTACATTGATACGAATAAATAAAATTAGTGCACACATCAGATACTCGAACATAGCTATATACCTATAACATAACCAGTATGATTCTAGTAATTTCCTTTACATCTTTTTATTTTTAAATTTTAAAAAAATTATTTTTGCTCCATATAATATCTATGATGTTTATATAGTCTACATCTAACAAAAGTCTTAAAATAACAATTTATAGTTAATCATATCCTTTTTAAAACAACGACCGTCAAGAAAAAATAAATAAAAGAAAATAAAAGCAGGCATTGAATAATTCATTGAAAAGTAATTCAAAAACTAAATTGTTGGTCAGTTTATGATATTTTAGATGTATTCTATATATAAACTAAAAATAATAGGACTTTGTAACGTTTGAAACTTGAAATAAAAATGTTCGTCACTAAAATTTCAAACATTTGATGGTAATATTATCTAAAAAATGTATCGGAAAACTAATTTTTAATAAAAATGTATATATATACTTATAATAAATTATATATTGTCTAAAAATTGGGATTATAACAAAAAATAAAAATAGATAACATAAACTATTGACACACATTTATATAATCATATATTTTTAAACATTTTTATCAGTATTTACTAGATATCGTATAATACAATAAATGTATTTATCATAATCTTGTAATATTGTTTAAAATATCTACTCGCAGCGTATTTTTATTTTATACTCAGTGTATTATTCTATATTTGTGTTTGAGCTCATAAATAAATTGTCATACTTTAAGAAATAATGTAAATTGTCTTAACGAATAACTTACCTTAGAAATATTATACGAATACTCTCTCACAACGGAATTTGGCAATTATAATGAGAAAAACACATATATTTAAATACTTGTAGAGTATTCAGAGTGCATTTCCGTCCGTTCGTTTTATATATATATATATATATATATATATATATATAAATAAAACATCTAAGGCATGATAAGAATGAGATAGGAAAATGTTTACATTTTCTACTGGTCATTTTATGATTATACACGAATACTAAGTAGTGATTATGTATCATTAAGTAGACCATGTGAAACTTGCAAATACATTGTACATTATTAGTTGATCAGCGTTTTGCAAATTATGTCCTTTATAAATAAATATGCCAATATTGATACTTCATTATATGTAGAACAAAAACTTTTATCCGATATGATTTATCGTTTAATATTGTAAGTCATTTTATAATGCATTGTTATAATTTTTCTACTTTGTATTTAACAAAATTCGAGCTTAAGGGTTTTAGTTTATGGCCAAAATATATTTAATAAAACCTACTTTACTGAAGCCAAGAAAAATATAGGTTTTTAATCATATTATATTGTCATACCAAACCAATAAAAATTAACGTCTTGGTGCAGTATAATTAAATACATGTAGTAAATTTCAATGCTTGGTTCTTCACAATAATATACCTGTATTAATTAATGAAATAATGAGTTATAATGAAAAAATAACAGTAACGTAAATACTCTATAATCAATACATATTTAGTATTTAAATTAATAATCAGAGTTTAGCTTATAGAATTTTGAGAATTTAGATACATTTTTAGGTTATGATAAAATATTTTGCTGGATTATCAAGATTTGAGTTCTTAAATTTGATGTACGAAAACCAGCAAAAAAATCTGGTTTATTTTAATGTTTTGAAGTCGAATCAGATATTAACTCAAAATATCATGATTTTCCGTATCGAATTTGAAATAGAGTAAAATTAAAGCATGTTAAAAAAATAAATAAGATCAGGGAATATATTCTTAATATTGAGAAATTTAAATAGTGTTTGGAATAATAGTGTTCATTACTAAAATACTGCAAGATTAAGAAGAAATAAAATAAATTATCCAGCTCTCACAGTGGTCTAAAATTATCCACGAGACTACCCGCTTAGTTTTGTTTCTTAAAACTTGGAAGGCTTTGAATTCCATCAACAGTAAAACAATATGCATGAATAAATTATGTTACTTTATACAATTTTTTTTTTCACATTTTAATTATAAAATACTTCAGCACATATAGTACTATTACAACTTTTTAATTTTTACAATTTTGTTTGTTATAAATTTAAATAAGTGATAAATTTTTTGATGACATAATTATTTATTGTGAGGATGATATGATAATGTGACATAATAATGTGATAACATATATGAATATAATAATAATTATAAGGTCTAGTATATTAATAATAATAATTAAATTATTATTATTATTATTAATAATGATCTTCATTTTTTGATGATGAGTCTTCTATGTCTGTTAAGAAAATGTCCTGAGGAATTTGAGGCCACGGGCGTCAATTGAATGTTTTTCTTTCTATATTGTAATGACAAGCACTGTCCAAGTTTTTAGTTTGGCGTGAAAGATTTTAAATTGATTTTAATCCATGTATTTATCAGGGGTATTCCCATGTCATTATGGATCTGACGATTTCTTAAACCACGATGCTTTGAGACATATCCTTAAGAATTTATTTTGTAGGATTTGGATTTTATTTATTTTAATTATAGAGGCAGTAGCCCATACAGGACAGTCATAAGTTATCAGTGGTCTGATTATTGTGGTGTAGAGAAGGAAAGATGATTTAATTTGGAGAGTTGATTTGTAATTCACTAAGGGGTAGAGAATTCTTATCCTGGTATATCCCTTAATGAGTTTTTTGTTTATGTGAATATTCCATATCAGTTTTTCATCGAGAAAAACACCATGGTATTTGACTGAGTCATCTTTTCTATTCCATTGTATGATTTGGTTGTTTATATAAATATTTCTTTGATAATTATATATTTTTAAGGTGAATATTTTAGCCACACTTTTAGTCGGATTTAGTTTCAGCTTCCATTTTTTTGAACCGGGAGGTAATTTCGTTTAATGAAGATTATAGTTTTTCGATTGATAAGTCTAATACGCTATCTTGTGTGAGGATTGTTGTGTCGTCCGCAAACATTGCCAGTTGAGAGTTAGAAGGATTGAGGATGTCAGACAGTAAATGTTAAAAAGAGTTTGCCCCAATACTGTTTCTTGTGGGACTCCAGATTTAATTTTGTGTTATATAGATAAGTCTGTGTCTATTTTCACTTGCAATGTTCTGTCTGTTATAAATTATGTGATGGTTTTTAACAGGTACATAGAAAGCTTAAGTGCTTTCGGTTTTATTTCAAGCCTGCAATACCAGACTTTATCAAAGGCTTGTGTTAAATCGAGTAAGACTGCTGTAGTATATTGTTTGTTTTCGAAACCGTGTACAATTATTTCTGATATACGCTGGATCTGATGGCATGTGGAGTGCTGTGTTTGGAAGCCTAATTGGTATTTTGGAATTATGTGTAAGAATGGTTTTATTCTATTC